TCTTCGCGGCGCGCGCTTGGCCCTACCTGACTGCACGGGACACTAAGCACGCACGCACCGCACGCACGCACGAAGCCTCTCATGTTTCTCACGTGCTGTTACATGGCTCTCTCTCGGCGCGCGCTGGCCCTACCTGACTGCACTGCACCGCACGCACGCACCGCACGCACGCACGCACGCACGCACGCTCTCATGTTCTCGTGTGTTATCAGCTCTCTCTCGCGCGCCGCTGGCCCTCCTGCACTGCCACGGGGACAAGCCACGCACGCACGCCACGCACGCACGCACGCACGCACGCACGCCGCGCAGCGCAACGCCCGCCCACGCACGCTGCTCATGTTTACCGGTGTGTTACAGACTCTCTTCTCGCGCGCGCTGGCTCTACCCTGACTGCACGCGACAAAGCACGCACGCACGCACGCCGCACGCACGCTACGCACCCACGCTCACTATGTTCTCACGTGTGTTACAGGCTCTCTCTCGGCGGCGGCTGGGCTCTACCTGACTGCACGGACAAGCACGCACGCACGCACAGCACGCACGCCCACGGCACGCACGCACCAGCTCACATGTTTCTCACGTGGTGTTACAGCTCTCTCTTCGCATGCGCGCTGGCTCTACCTACTGCACGGCACAAGCACGCCACGGCACGCACGCACGGCCACGCATCGCTCTATGTTCTCACGTGTGTTAAGGGCTCTCTCTCGCTGCGGCGCTGGCCTACCTGATCTGCCACGGGACAAGCACGCCGCACGCACGGCACGCCACGCCACGCTCTCATGTTCTCACGTATGTTACAGGCTCTCTCTCGCGCGCGCTGGCCCTACCTGACTGCACGGACAAGCACGCACGCACGCACGCACGCGACGGCACGGTCAATGTTCTTCACGTATGTTACAGGCTCTCTCTCGCGCGCGCCTGGGCCTACCTGACTCAACGGACAGTAGCACGCACGCACGCAACGCACGCCGGCTCTTCAGGTGTTCTCACGTATGTTACAGGCTCTCTCTCCCGCGCGCGCTGGCTATACCTTGACTGCACGCACGCCACGCACGCTACGCACGTACGCAGCACGCACGCACGCTCACATGTTCTCAGTATTGTTACACGGCTGTTCTCTCTCGCGCGCGCGCTGGCCCTACCTGACTGCACGGACAAGCACGCACGCACGCACGCACGCACGCACGCTCTCATGTTCTCACGTATGTTACAGGCTCTCTCTCGCTGCGCGCTGGCTCTACTGATGCACGGACAAGCACGCACGCACGGCACGCACGCGCACGCACGCTCAATGTTCTCTGCGTCATGTTACAGGGGCTCTCGCTCTCGCGCGGCGCTGGCTCTACCTGACTGCCACGGACAAGCCACCGCACGCACGCACGCACGCACGCACGCACGCTCTCATGTTCTCACGTATGTTACAGGCTCTCTCTCGCGCGCGCTGGCTCTACCTGACTGCAACTGCACGCACGCACGCACGCCACGCACGCACGCACGCACGCACGCTCACATGTTCTCACGGTGTGTACAGTCTCTCTCTCACCGCTGCGCATGGCCTTACGCTGACCTGCGACGGACAAGCACGCACGCACGCACGCCACGCACGCTCACTGTTCTCAACGTGTGTTACAGGCTCTCTCTTCTACGCGCGCTGGCCCTACCTGACTGCACGCACGCACCGCCACGCACGCACGCACGCACGCACGCACGACGCACGCACGCCGCTCTCTGTTCTCACGTATGCTTACAGGCTCTCTCTCGCGTGCGCTGGCTCTACCTGACTTGCACGCACGCACGCAGCACGCACGCACGGCACGCACGCCGGCATGCCTCTCATGTTCACGGTGATGTTACAGGCTCTCCTCTCGCTGCGCCGCTGGCCCTTACTGAAACGCCACTGGACGAACTGCGCGCACGCACGCACGCACGCCACGCACGCATTCATGTTTCGCGTATGTTACAGGCTTCTCTCTCGCGCGCGCTGGCGGCCTCTACCTGACTGCCACGACAAAGCAACGGACGCGACGCACTCACGCACGCACGCCACGCGCACGCACGCACGCACGCCACGCTCCACATGTCTCGCGTATGTTACAGCCTCTCTCTCGCGCGCGCTGGCTTTACCTGGATCTGCCACGGACAAGCACGCCGCCGCACGCACGCACGGCACGCCACGCTCTCATGTATCTCACGTATGTTACAGCGCTCTCTCTCGCGCGCGGCGCTCTACCTGACTGCAGCACGCACGCTACGCACGCACGCACGCACGCACGCACGCCGCACGCTCTCATGTTCTACGTATTTACAGGCTCTCTTTTCGCGCGCGCGCTGGCTCTACCTGACTGCACGGGGACAAGCCCAGCACGCACGCACGCTACGCCGCACGCACGCACGCACGCACGCACGCCTCACATTGTTCTCGCGTGTATGTTACCAGGCTCTCTCTTCGCGCGCGCTGGCCTCTAGCTGACTGCGACGGACAAGACGCACGTCACGCACGCACGCACGCACGCACGCACGCACGGCACGCAGCTACATTGTTTCTCGCGTATGCTTACAGGTCTCTCTTTCGCGCCGACTGGCTCTACCTTGACTGCACGACAAGCACGCGCGCACGCACGCACGCACGCACGCAACGCTCATGTTGCTCACGCTATGTTTACAGGCTTCTCTCTCTGGCGCGCGTGGGCTCTACCTGACTGCACGCACGCACGCACGCAGCACGCACGCACGCACGCACGTCCTCAATGTTCTCACCGTGTGTTACAGGCCTCTCCTCTCACGCGCGCGTGGCCTACTGACTGCACGCACGCACGCACGCACGCACGCACGGCACGCACGCACGCACGCGTCTCATGTTCTCACGTATGTTTACAGCTCTCTCTTCGCTGCGGCTGGCCTACCTGACTGCACGGACAAGCACGCACGCACGCACGCGCACGAACGCCCGCCTCTTCTGTTCCTACGTATGTTACAGGCTACCTCCGTCTCGCGCGCGCTGGCCCTACCTGACTTCACGGACAAGCTACGCACGCACGCACGCACCGCACGGCCACGCTCTCATGTTCTACGTATAGTTACGAGGCTCTTCTCTCGCGCGCGCTGCTCTACCCTGACTGCACGGACAAGCACTGCGCGCACGCACGCACGCAGCACGCACGCTTCTCATTGTTACTCACGGTATGTTACAGGGCTCTTCTCTCTCCGGCGCGCCGCTGGCTTCTACCTGGACTGCTACGCACGCACGCACGCAGCGCACGCACGCAGCGCACCGCACGCACGGCCTCCATGCTTCTCACGTATGTTACAGGCTCTCTCTCGGCGCCGCGCTGCGCCCTACCTGACTGCACGGACAAGCACGCCGCACGCAGCACGCACTGCACGCTCTCATGTTCTCACGTATGTTAACAGCGCTCTCTCTCGCGCGCGCTGGCTCTACCTTGACTGCCCCGGACAAGGCCGCACGCCGCCACGCACGCGACGCACGCTCACACTGCTTCTCGGTTATGTTGACAGGGCTCTCTCTCGCGCGCTGCTGGCTCTACCTGACTGCACGGACAAGCCGCGCGCCACGGCAACGCACGCACGCACGCACGCTCTCATGTTCTACGTAATGTTACAGGCCCTCATCTCTCGCCGGGCGCGTGCTCTACCTTGACTGCACGCACGCGACGCACGACACGCCCGCACGCAGCACGCCGCACGCTTCACATGTTTCATCACGTGTGTTTACAGGCTCTCTCTCACGCGCGCTGGCCCTACCTGACTGCACGGACAAGCACGCACGCACGCACGCGCACGCACGACTCACATGTTCTTCATCGATGTGTTACAGGCTCTCTTCACGTCGCCGCTGCGACTACCTGTACTGCACGCACGCACGCACGCACGCACGACGCGACGCCGCACGCACGCAGCACGCACGCACGCCACGCACGCACGCTCTACATGTTCTCCGTATGTTACAGGCTCCTCTCGTCGTTTGCGCGTGGGTCATACCTGACTGCACGCACGCCACGCACGGCACGCACGCACGCACGCAGCACTGCTGCTTCCATGTTTTCACGTCAGTGTTAACAGGCTCTCTCTCGTGCGCGCTGGCCCTGACGCTGATGCACAGGACAAGCCACGCGACGCACGCACGCAGCACGCACGCTCACATCGTTCTCGCTTTATGTTACAAGGCTTCTCTCTCTGCCGCGCGCTGGCTTCTACCTGACTGCACCGGACAAGCACGGACGCACGCACTCACGCACGCACGCACGCACGCACGCTCACTGTTCTCGCGTATGTTACATTGGCTCTCTCTTCGCCGGCTGTGCGCTGGCTCTACCTGACTGCCACGGACAAGCACGCACGCACGCACGCACGCACGCACGCTCTCATGTTCTCCGTATGTCTACAGGGCTCTTCTCTCGGCGCGCGCTGGCTCTACCTGACTGCACGGACAAGCACGCCACGCACGGCACGCACGCACGCACCGCTCACATGTTCTCACGGTATGTTACAGGCTCTCTCTTCCCGCTCGTCGCTGGCTTACCTGACTGCACGGACAAGCACGCACGGCACTCACGCAACGCACGCAGCCGCACGCCCACGCTCACATGTTCTGTTCGGTATGATTACAGGCTCTCTCTCGCGCCGCGCCTGGCTTCTACCTGACTGCACGGCACCAAGCACTAGCGCGCACGCCAGCACGCAACGCGACGCCTTCACATGCTTCTCGCGTAGTGTTTCAGGCTCCTCTCGCGCCGCTGGCTTCTATCCTGACTGCACGGACAAGCACGGACGCTACGCACGGGCACGCACGCAGCACGCTTCTCATGTTCTTCGCGCTGTGTTACAGGCTCGTCTCCTCTCGCGCTGCGCTGGCCCTAACCTGACTGCACGGACAAGCACGCACTACGCCACGCACGCACGCTCTCGATGGCTTCTCGCCGTGTGTTACAGAGCTCTCTCTCGCGCGCGCTTGGCTCTACCTGACTGCACGGTTCTCACGT